AAATGAAAAGGGAGCCAACCGTATGGGAAAATATATTCGCTAATGATACATCAGATAGAGGTTTGATCTCCACGATATATAAAGAACTCACTCAACTCCACTCCAAGAAGACAAACGATCCAATCAAAAAATGGGCAAAGGACCTGGGCAGATGCTCTTCTAAGGAGGAGATACAGAGGGCCCAGAGGCATTTTAAAGGATGCTCAGCGAAATGCAGATCAAAACCACCATGAGGTACCACCTCACACCAGTCAGAATGGCCATTATAAACAGATCCACAAACAACAGGTGCTGGCGAGGCTGTGGAGAAAAGGGAACCCTAGTCCACTGTTGGTGGGAATGCAGACTGGTGCAGCCACTGTGGAAAGCAGTGTGGAATTTCCTCAAAAAGCTGAAAATGGAACTGCCTTTTGATCCAGGGATTCCCCTGCTGGGACTATACTCTAAGAACACCAAAACGCCAATACGAAAGAACCTAAGCACCGCAATGTTCATAGCAGCACAATTTACAATAGCCAAGTGCTGGACGCAACCTAAATGCCCCTCAGTAGATGATTGGATCAGAAAATTATGTTACATATACACAATGGAATACTGCGCAGCAGAAAGAAAAAAAGAACTACTAAACTTCACGACAGCATGGATGGAACTAGAGAGCATTATGCTAAGCGAAATAAGCCAGGGGGCGAAAGACAAATGCCATATGATCTCACCTATAAGCGGAACCTAACCAACAATACAAAGATGGAAGGAAAATAAGACCAGCAACACTGAAAGGAAAAGAAATCAACAGAGTCAAGAGGGAAGGAGGGAGGGGCGGGGCAGGGAAAGGGAAGGGAAGGGGAAAGTCAAGGAACATACAGCAAGGACTCATGGACAAAACCAAAGGGGAAGAGCTGAGGGAGGGAAGGAGGGAGGGGGCAAGGGAAAGTGGTGGGGGGGGAGGCAGAGACAAATGTATTTAAAAAGTAAATAAATAAATTTTAAAAATAAAATAAAATAAAACATAATAAAAATAATTTAAATTTTTTCCCAATACCATTTATCCCCCTTATACCACCCTCCTCCCAACAATCACCACATTGTTATCCATGTCTAAGAGCCCTTTTTCCTTTTTGCTCAATCCCTCCACTCCTCCCCTCCCCTCTTAGCTGTCATCCTCTTTATAAGTCTGTCTCTCCTTTGCTTGTTAGTTCAGTTTGTTCACTAGATCCCACATATGAGTGATCCTATCTTGTTTTTAGGGCCTACCTATCCTTGCCCAATACTTTGCTATTTGCCCTTTTTCTATACCGTTGTTGCTCCTGCTCTTCTTCCCTTTCTTCTTCCTCCTCCTTCTCATTATTACAACTAATATTTAATGAGGGTTTACAGTGCTGGGTTTTGTTCTAAATGCTTTACATATATTAACTCATTTAATCCTCACAACAATCACATGAGGTAGATAAGAACACTGATGGGAAAGGGGGAGAAGGAGATAGAGAGAGATGGAGAAACTTGCCAAACTACAACAGCTGGAGAATGGAAGAAGCTGGATTTGAACCCAGGGAGACTGACTCCAAGGTCAGAACCCTTAACCATGGGGGCTTATTCCTCCCACACACCCCGCTTAGTCTTCCCTCTGATCCTTTCCTCCTGTAGATCCCAACCTTCAGTTTACTTACCCTCCAATGAACTTAAAGCACAATAACACTTACCATGTATTGGCCCCTTGCCATGTGCCAGGCATTTCTTGTTTAAACCATGTATTTAACACTTCATCCTATAGCAACTTGTCTGAACAAGCAACACCTGTGTTTAAATCCTGGCTTGTTCTGCCCTGGCCTGTGTGTTTCATTCAGTTGGAGCATGATTCTATACACGAAAAGGTTGTGGGTTCAATCCCCAGTCATGGCACATACCCAGGTACCGGGTTCGATTTCTGGTCAGGTGCCTACTGGAGGCAACCAAGCTCTGTCCCTGTATCTCCCTCTCTCTTGCTCTCTCCTGTCTTCTCTCTTCCTTTCCCCTCCTTCCTCCATCTCTAGAGTCAATAAAAATATCCTCAGGAGAGGATTAAAAAATAAAATAAAAATAATAAATTCTGGCTTGTCCCTTTAGTAGCTGTGAGATCTTCAGTAAATTACTTAGTTTGTCCGAATCTCAGATTCTTTATCTGAGTCAACAGTTCTCAAAGTGTGATCCCATCAGCATCACCTGGGGAGCTTGTTAGACATGCAGTCTGAGCCCCACTGCACACCTACTGAATCATAGTCACTGGGGTGAGATCTACCTATTTCTCTCTTTTAACGAGCCTTTCAGGTGTTTCTAATGCACACTCAAGTTTGAGAACTACCACCCTAGCTATAATAATACCTACCTGACAGAGTTTTGGGAACAATAAAACATAATATCTATAACTTAGCTGTGGTATCAGGTTGTTTTGCAAATGGTAATTTCTTATTACTACTACTTAACTTTGTGTGGGTTAGTCTTTCTTGCTCAAGGTGTGGGTGGGCAGGCATCTTGCTTCCTGATGCTCTTTATTATTTCCCTGCTCACCTACAAAAAGGCAGTACATACCCTAAGTTTTGAATAAAGTCTTCCTTCTTTACTGACTGGTTGGTAAGAGAACCATTTTTGGAGAAGCACTGTAGGGTAGTACAGCAGGTCCTTGAATAACATCACTTTGTTCAATGGTATTTTGTTATAAGATTGATAAGAAAAAATGATTCCCAGCCAGAGCCACTGTCTGTGTGGAGTTCTCCTGTTCTTCTCTGTAGATTTCCTACCACATCCCAAAGATGTGTATGTGTGAGTGCATCCTGAAGTGGAAAGGCATTCTGTTAAGGTTTGGGCCAACCTTGCTCCCTGAGCTGCCAGGATCGACTCCGGCCATCTGCAACCCTGGACTGAAATAGGTGAGTTAGGAAATAATTAATTTTTATTCATCTTTATTTCAATGTTTAATATTAGAATTGTTTTGGGTCTTCGATTAGAAATTTGGCAATGTTTTTGTGACCAGAAATATGCTGCAGAAACTTAATTCTTGTTTATATCAGTTAGCTTATGGTAAAATTGATTTCATTACATTGTTTCACTTAAATTTGCAACCTATTGATGATGTTAAGTGAGAACTTATTGTGGAGTGTCTCTGAAGTAAGACTGCTTGGATCTAGTCAACTTAATATCTGTGGGACTTTAGGCAAATTAATTTATCTGTGTTTGCTTCCGTTTCTCCTCTCAGGCAAATGGGGAGATTCATAGTACCCATCCCTTAAGGTTATAGTAATAAATAAATGTAAAGTGCTTTGAATGGTGCCCAGAGTAGAGCACTGTGCTCAAGAAATATTAATTAGCATTATTTTTGTGTCATTTCACCCACTCAATGGTAGAGACTCTGTTTCTTCATCTGGCAAGCAAATGAAAAATACCCCTGAGCAACTTCTCTGTGCTAGGCACATAGAGTAAGTCTATGACCAAGGTGTGGTCTCCTCTCTCAAAAGTTTCAGTCTAATATTGTGGAAAACTCTGCAGACCCACTAGACTGAAACAAGTTCTCCAAGGATATAATATAAGCTAGTTTACAGTGAGGAATCAAGACTAGCCATAAAATCCTATAGAATCCCCATCCAGGATAAGACTCCTCAGACATGATGCTGAGTGATCAGTTTGAAGGGTTTCTTTAGGGATCTTAATTGAAGCAGTTATGGTGGAAAATGAATGAACTTTGGGGCCAGACAAACCAGGGTCTGAATCCTGGTTCCATCAATTATACTAGGTGACCTCAGCTAAGTTATATAACCTCTCTGCACCTCATCTATAAAATAGGTAGTAAAAATGAACTATTGTGGAGACTAAACGAGATTATGGGTGTAAAAAGATCTAACCCAGTGACTGACCCTTTATATTGGTTTCCTCCTTTTTTCATTGCCAACCAGAAAACAAGTAGGTTTCCCAGACTTTGGAATCAAAAGCAAGCCAAAATTATTCCCAACTACACCACCAAATCATAGGAGACAATATAGACCCCCAGGCTCTTCTGGGGTCAGGAGACTCAGAATCTAGTCCTCTCCTTTTGTGTCCCCTCCCTAAGTGCCCCTATCGAGGCACAGCTAAGAGCTTTTTTCCCTATTCCTCCTTCATTCCTGGAATTTGAGTTAAAGAATCAATATAATTTAGGGGTGTCTTAAAATTAGGCCTGGAGAAGAACTGACTGTCAGAGTATATCAAGGGAATTTCACAAAAGAAAGGGTCCAGCCAGGCTGATAGAGAGCACCCCAGAGAAGGTAACTGTCACTCCTATGGTCACCTATGGCAGGTGGGCTCATCTCTGGGAAACATGAGTGCTGTGTGCCATGCTCTCCACATAACAGGAACAGATTTTCCATTATGGGCATTTTTTTTCCTTAAGGGCTTTGCCCAAGCAACTTTTTTTCCTCTAGCTCAAGCCATATATGCCATTTGTGAAAATGTCCAGCTTTCTCTTGGGGATTTTAACCTATTGTTAGCATAATCTGCCCTTGGACTTTTAGTGAGCAGACCTTAAGTTTTTAATAAGTCCTATAAAAAGAAAGGTGGCAGAACCCAAGAAATAAGTACCTCCAACAACTCTGAGGCAAAAGCACAACAGTAGCTAGATAGCCTTACCTCCTTTTTGCTCCCTCCAACTGCCCAATGGCCACTGGGAAGGCAGGCATAATTTATGCCTTCACATCTGTTTCATCATGGTCTGGTCCTACATGTTCTGGTGCCTGAGTAGGCCTGCCTCAGGCCTCTGAGATGATGGGCACAATGTACCACAATACTGCCTGACTACTCCATATTTTAAAATGTCCTAGCAATTAGTTTGGTCTGTAGCCCACTGCAGGGGGCAGACTGGATGACATCCATGGCATGAAGCCCTTGATGTAAATACCAAACCAGGTTCCCCAAAGAAAGCTGAACAAATGGAAGAGCTTACCGTTTCTATAGAAACTTCAGAGGTACCAAACACCCCAACACCCTGAGAAGCCACTTACCTTCCTGATTTGCTGGTCTTCCTGTTTCCTGTTGTTGGTTTCCACTTGTCCCCAGGAAATTCCTGCAAAGCAAAATTCTGATAAGTTAGGGAGCTCCGAGCAGTCAGGTATCTAGATGGCCTCAAAAATGTGAAGAGTCTAGGAACTTGTTCCCGGCCAGGTTCTCTAGCTGGTTCCTTCTACTCTCCCATGCAGGATAGAGAAATAGGTACATGGAGGCTGCCTTTCTGTCAGGAGGCCTAATGAGCTGCTGGGGGCATGCAGAACACTAAGAGAGCACTCAGGGACCTGGAAAGTGTACTCTAGAAACTCTGTTTTCCTCTGTTTCTCCACTCCCCCCCCCCAAAAAAAACATGTTAAAAACCAGTTTAGCACATTTGCTGTTTGTTTTGGCTGTTGCAAAGGAGGTCTTTTTGTTTATTCTGCCTGGTGAACCTGCTCTTTCCTTTTGACTCTTCCAACATAGAAAGCATCTTCTTGGAAGCCCTGACCCTTGAAGCGCCTTTGAGGCCTAAAGCTCCTGCTGCTGCAACCCTTTCCTAGAGTGAGGCAGATGGAGATCATGCATTCCAGCACACTACTGTACTACAGGGGCCTTTCCTACTCCCAGATCCATTGGCAGTGGCTGAGATGGGCTTATCCTTGGGGAGCCTGAGTGCTATGTGCCTTGTTCCCCATATTACAGGAGTAGATTCTTCACCCTGGGCATTATTTTTTTCCTTAAGGGCTTTGCCAAAGCAAGTATTTTCCCTCTTTATGTGTACCATTTATAAAAAATGTCCCTACATCCCTATTCTAGCTCCAAACCTAATGCAAACTTGCCTTTGACATTTTCCCCAGCTTTGCATTCAGCACTCTCTAGCAATGCATAGCTTAGCCCAATAAAAAGGCACAGTTGTTCTAAACCTCGCTGATCTTCCAAATTCCCTCTTTCTTCAATGCTATTATTGGACCCATTTAAAGTTTTATTACCTTTGTCCCAGTTAAATAACAAATTATTCTCTTTTGGGAGTAAGACATTTGGTGTCAGTCATACTGGCTAAGATACTTAATAACTGTTATTTGAGGGAAGTTGTGTCACCTTCCTTAACCTCATATTCTGATCTGGCAAATAAGGACTTTGCTATCTAGCCTTGCTGGGGTTCCAGTAGTGGAGATAAAATGGTATGTGCATAGAGAAGGCCTAGCACAGTGCTCAGCACATAGGAGGCTCTGGATGTCAGTTGCCAGGGAAAGGATGAGGTTTCTCAGCTTTTACAGAATCAGAGCAGTCCCTGTCTGTACCTACCATGTTAGAGCAGCTCTAACCACTTGTTAGATTTCAGACTCTGTGTTGACGCCCTTGTGAGATGTCCCTGCCCTCATATTTGTTCAGCTACAGTGGGAGCCAGGATTTCCTGTCTATGCCCTGTCTAGCCCTATGGGAAGTGCTCAGTAAATAGCAGGGGCCAAATCAAACAAAGTTGTATCCCAACTCTGAACCTCCTTCGCAGATTCCCAGTATCATATTACTTTTTTTCTCTTCTTGAGCTTAGGTTGCTGTAAATTGCCTGCACCCTTTGAACTGAAAAGGCAGTTACCCCATGGCTTATTGCAGATGATGACTGACTGTGGTGGGAACTTGCTGCCCTAAGGGAAAGTATATTGCTAAAAGGCATCCTGCCATGCTAGACAAAGCCTGGGCTTTGAAATCAGCTTATGCGGAGACACTGTAGCATAATTAGGAGCTTGGCCCTGAACCTAAACTACATGGATTCAAATCCCACACTTGCTATGTGACCTCAAGCAAAATACATAACTTCTCTTTATCTCATTTCCCCCAGCTATTTAATAGTGTGATTGTGATAATAACATTACCTATTTCTTGACTGCTTTAAGGACTGCATGAGTTGCTATATGTGAAGTGCCTAGAATAGTACCTGGTACAGAGTAGACACTCAAATGTTATTGTTCAAATCCTGGCTTTGCCATTTGCTAGATGTGTGACTCTTCTGAGCCTCGGTTTCCTCAGCTGTAAAATTGGGATCCTATTATAATATATCATGCAATTGTTAAATGAAATAATTTGATAATAAATGGAAAACTAACTAGTATGAAGTATGAGGGATATAAGTGTGTACTGGTTTTAGTTCTCTTAACAGCACTATACAGGAGCCAATTAGCTCTCCAACATCTTTCATGGGCCATAAGGAGAAGGATATCAGCCCTACTTCACACAGCCTTAGTCATATGGGCTGCAGAATCTTAATCCACACTACAAGTTTTCCTCATGTCTGGGGGTCGGGGTGTGTTCAGGTGGTAGGAGTAAGAATGGGCATAAAGTGGCTCTTAGATGGTCTTCCAAATGTCTGAAAGCCTAGTGTCTAAGCAAACCTGTTTAGCTAGACTAACAGGCATTAGGAACTGAACATGTCCCTCCCTCAGAGTGCATAAGAAAACCTTCATTGCTGCTGCCAACTGATGCAACCTGGAAATTTCACCTCCCTCTTTTATAGAGTTATTGGCCCTCAGGTGACACTTCTGCAGCCACCATCTCCTTAACCCCATGCCCCCACCCCGCTTCACTCCCCTTTTTCTATTGTCCGCTTTCAGGTCCTTCTTTCAGAAACTTTCTCAAGCTAAGCCAATCTCTACCTTTATTTTAAAAGATAATAACTCACACTTATAAAATGATTACGATCTGGCAGTCACTGTTCTAAATGCCTTACACATGTTTCATCATTTAATCCTCACAATGAACTTATGAAGTACATGTTGTTATTGCCTCCATTTTTAAGTGGGAAAGCTTAGGAATTTGAACCTAGGGAGTCTGATTCCAGCATCAGTGCCCTTACACAAATATTTTATATTTACTCTCCTCTCTTTTCAACATTTTACTATGAATATTTTCAAGTATACAGAAGAGTTGAACAAGTTTACAGTCAACACACATATATCCACCACCTAGATTCTACGATTAATATTTTACCATATTTATCTTATCACATATACTTCTATTCACTCCTTTATCTACCCACCAATCCATCTTAATTTCTTGATGCATTTCAAATTAAGTTACAAACAACTTTATCCCCATAAAAATGGAAAGCTTAAATGTAATGGACAAAGTCCTTGAAAGACAAACTACCAAAGCTCATTCAAGAAGAAATAGATAACCTAAATGACCCTATATCTATTAAATAAATTGAATTTTTAGTTAAAAAAAGTCTTTCCACAAAGAAAACTCCAGGCTTGGTAGGCTTCAGTGATGAATTCTATTCAACATTTAAGGAAGAAACAATACCAATTCTATACAAACTTCCTGAACACGGAGGAGGAAGGAATACCTTCCAGCTCATTTGGTAAGGCCAGCACCTGGATATGATAACCAGAAGAGGATATTACAAGATAACTACAGACTAAAACCCCTGATAAACATAGACACAAAAATCTTTAACAAACTATGAACAAATCCAATCTAGTAACACATAAAAAGGATAATGCGTCATGACAAAGTGGGTGATACTAGGCTGGTTCTTGTTTCAAAAATCAACCAGTGTAATTCACCATATCAGTAGACTAAAAAAGAAAAACTATATGATCATCTCAATATATACAGAAAAAACATTTGGAAAAAATTCAACATCCACTGCTGATAAAAGCTACAAATAAAAGGGAACATCCTCAACCTGATAAAGGGCATCTATTAAAAACCTACAGCTAACATCATACTTAATAGTGAAAGACAAGGAACAAAGCAACAATATCCACTCTCACCACTTCTATTAAACTTTGTATTTGAGGTCCTAGAAGGTACATTAAGGCACCTCTCTCCCCTAGAAAAGGCATACACAGTGGAAAGAAAAATTTGAAATTATTTCCATATTCAGGTGACATGATTGTCTATGTAGAAAATCTTTAAAAACCTATCAAAAAGCCACTAGAACCAATAAATTACTTTGAAAAGCTTATAGCATATAAGACCAATACAACAAAATTGAATTGTATTTCTATATAATAGCAACAAGGAATTTTAATTGTCATTAAAAAATACTATTTACAATAGCATCAAAATCATGAAATCTTTGGGATAAATATAACAAAATATGTACATTTGTATACTGAAAACTATAAAATAAGTTGGAGCATCAACAAACTTCAAAAACTTCAGCACACATATTAAATAAAGTTCCATATTTGTTTATAATATCATAAAGCAAAATTTACTTCTAGTGAAATGCACAAATATTAAGTGCGCATTTGTTGAGTTATGATGAGTGTATACACTTGTGCAACTCAAACTCATCAAGATATAGAATGTTATCATCACCCAACTAAGTTCCCTCTGCCCTATCCCAGTCAACCTCTGTGCCACCTCACATAGGCAGTCACTGTTTTGAATTATTTTTCCATAGAATAGTTGCTTTAGAACAGCCTAAGTGCCCATCAGTAGATGAATGAGTTTAAAAAAAATTGTGGTACACAATGGAATACTATGCAGCAGAAAGAAAGAAGGAATTCCTACCTTTTGCAACAGTATGGTTGGAACCATTATGCAAAGTGCAATAAGCCAGTCAAAGACAAAGACCACATGATCTCACTTATAAGAGGAATCTGCCCTAGCTGGTGTGGCTCAGTGCACTGAGCGCCGGCCTGCAAACCAAATGATCACTGGTTCGATTCTCAGTGTAGGGCACATGCCTGGGTTGCAGGCCAGGTCCCCAGTAGGGGGTGCACAAGATGCACCCACACACATTGACGTTTCTCTCCCTCTCTTTCTCCCTCCCTTCCCCTCTCTGAAAATAAATTAAAGAAAGAAAGAAAGGAAGGAAGGAAGAAAAGAAAGAAAGAAATAAGAAATCTAATGAACAAAATAAATAAGCAAAACAAGAGACATGGAAGCATGGAACAGAGTGACAGCTTCCTGGGGGAGGGGGAGGAGGATAATGGTGGAAAGAAGGGGAAGGGAATGGTCAAAAAACATGTATGAATGACCCATGGACATGGACAAGAGTGTGGGGGTTGACTGTGGGAGCAGGGGTGGGATGGGTAGAAGAGGGCAAAGGGGGAAAAATTGGCACAACTGAGTAGAATAAACAGGAATGATAATAAAAAAAGAACTTTATATAAAAGGAATAGTAGAGTACGTACTCTTTTGTGTAAGGCTTCTTTCACCCCCTAAGTTTCCTTTATTCAAAGAATATGCATCGAGCAATTTCATACACTGAGTCATTCAGAAGCGTCTGCCTATGCAACAACAGTTCAACACAGAAACTGACTTCTGGTTTGAATGCACCAGCCAAAACGTGGCACTAAGAAAGCCATGGAGAAGGAATCTGGCAGTGAGCTGGTAAGGATCTAGGGGGTCCTCCCAGAAGTACTCTGGGAGATGGTGGTGGCTTATGTTAGGGTGGTAGGTCATAACCAGGTATAGCAACAGCCAGTCTAAACCTGGTTCTCTGACAGAGGGAGAGAATGGAAAAGAGGGGAAAGGATTTGTCCTTTAGAAAACCAGAAAAGCCAGATCTCTGAAAGCAAAGCTTGGGGTACCATTTGCAAAGTTTGAGGCTCCAAATAGTTTTAAAGGAAATGGAAGGAAATACATACTGTTTTGTACCAGATACTGGGCCTGACCCTCTATGTACACAATCTCATTTGATCATCACAACTGATTTATGAGATAGCCATTATTTTCCTCCACTTTAGTGATGAAGCAATAAGAATTTATTTAGTACTGGCCATTTTATGAAGTAAAAATTCTTTTTGTCCCTTTAAAATCATGTAACTGTAAATTTTGGTGGTTGAATGACATAGGCAGTAAAATTTCAGGTATCTCATATAGCAATATTTTTGCCCATATATCTGCTAGGACAAGGAAAAGAATGGGAAAAAAATAAGCAAATGGTATTACATCAAATTTAAAAGGTTCTGTACAGCCAAAGAAACCATCATCAAAATGAAAAGAGAACCCACTGTGTGGGAGAATATATTTGTCAATAATACATCTGATAAGGGTTTAAATTCTAAAATATATAAAGAATTTATGCAACTCAACACCAAGAAGACAGACAATTCACTTAAAAATGGGCAAAGGTCCTGAACAGACATCTCTCCAAGGAGGACATACACAGGGTCCAGAGACACATGAAAAGATGCTCAACATCACGAGCCATCAGAGAGATGCAAATTAAAACCACAATGAGGTATCACCTCACACTGGTCAGAATGACCATCATTAATAAACCAGCAAACAACAAGTTCTTGAGAGGATCAGGAGAAAAGGCAACCCTAGTCCACTGTTGGTGGGAATGCAGACTGGTACAGCAACTGTGGAAAACAGCATGAAATTTCCTCAAAAAATTAAAAATGGAACTACCTTTTGATGTAGTGGTCACTGCTCGGAATATATTCTAAGAATCCCAAAACAACAATTCCAAAGAATATATGCACCCCTATTATCATAGCAGTGCTATTTACAATAGCCAAGGTTTGGAAACAGCCTAAGTGCCCATCAGTAGATGGGTAGACAAAAAATGTGGTACATTTACACAATGGATTACTACGCAGCAGTAAAAAACAAGGAATTCTTACCTTTTGTGACAGCATGGGTGGACCTTGTGACTATTATGCTAAGTGAAATAAGCCAGTGGGTGAAAGACAAATACTATATGATCTCACATATAAGTGGAATCTAATGAACAAAATAAACTAACAAGCAAAATAGAACCAGAGGCATAGAATCATGGAAAAGACTGACAGCTGTAAGAGGGGAGGGGGAAGGTGGGGACTGGTTGAAAGTAGGTGAAGAGACTAGTCAAAGAACATATATTCATGAGCCATGGACACGGACAATGGTGTGGTGATTGACTGTGGGAGTTGGGGGTGGGCTGGGTGGAGGGGGGCAAAGGGGAAAAATTGGGACAACTGTAATAGCATAAATAATAAAATATTTAAATTTAAAAAATCACATAATTGCAAATTTTGGTGGGTGAATAACTTGCTTCAGGTCACTTAGATAAAATTATACAGTCAGGCTATAAATCTCAGTTATGTCCATTTTGTGAAGGAAAAGTTATTTTACTCTAACTCTAAAAATGAGGGAACTGCAATCTTGATGGCTGAGTGTCCTGCCCAAGGTTAATAAGCTACCATATGGTGGACCAGGACTACATAGTTTTAAGAAATTACAATTGTTTTCAAATGATTCACTTTGTTTTCTCCTTTGAAAGAGAATAATGAAGCTCACCCACACAAGAACCAAGTCCTCACCTGCACTGTCGGCTTCCTGGGTTTCCAAGCATTGCCAGGTGCCAAACTGCTGTCCTCCAGGGTACTGTGCTGGGGATTATGATAGCAAGCTGAACACCGAATGCATTGGTGGTGGTGGCACCGACAGTTGTAGCAGTTTGGCATCATATTTCTCTTTCTCAAAGCAGGGCAGATTTCTCCAGAACAATAAATGCAAGGGTCATGTACTACAGCTCCCTGGACACTGCAAGAGTAAGAGCAGGTCCTGTGGTAATCAAAATCACCACAGTGCAGTGGCTTACAACACACAGATTGTTCTAGACCCTTGCTTGCAAAACATTCGGAGTAAGTAGGAGTTTCTGACTGAGGGGGTGACATGGGATGATATGATTGGTCTGTGGCATGATATGGTTGTTCTGTGGAATGATATGATTGGTCCATGGGATGGTGCCTCAATTCCCTATAGCTAGAGCTCATTGGCTGGAAGTTTTGGTCTATAGGTTTTGGTCTCTGGGTAAAAGTTTTGTTACTATGAGTGGTTAAACCTGGTAAATGAGATGTCGATAAGGATTTGCTACTCTCTTCAAAAAACTTTCTTCTGTCTGCAAAGGGCAAGAGGATGGCTTCCTCCCCAGCTTGGGCAGTAGAAGCCTTCAATTCTTTGTTATCTCCTGGGTTGGAAGAGCTTTCCATGCCTAGTGCCACATGTGACTGCAGGTTGTGCTCTGGAGACCACCTCCAATGACCTCCATGAGCTCCATGGTGAACTTTTGTTTTCTCACAGTCTGAAGAGGATGGATCAGATGCTTTCCACCAGGTGTTCAAGCCCATAGAGGACTGGCCAGGCCTCTGGCCAGGGCTTATTCGTCCCTCCAAGCCTGTCCTAGATTCATGGCTCTCAGGGGCTTTGCTGAGGCACTCTGAAGACCTAGCCCTAAGCATCACAGTCTTGTTAAAGAGTTTGTCTCTGGGGCTAGGTGGTTTTTTATACGAAGGTAGAAGAGGTGAGTTAGAGGCAGGGAGTAGAAGACTTTCTAGGGGCTCCTCAGTCTCTTCCACTGGCTCCTTAGTATCACACAGCTGTGATAAGGGACTCTTGCTTTTGTGGAGCTGGGCTTTTCTCCTCTGAATTTCATTACGCAAGTTGGTAGCAAAACGCTCACTCTTCCGCCGGTTTTCGATTGAGCGGCCCCGGGTCCCTCCATTTCGCCTACCACCCACCTGGCCACACTCCTTGAGCTCATTGTTCCCTTCTTCAGCTGCCTCTGTGATTCCGGCTACTTTAGTGGTTGAAGAACAGTCCCTGGTTTGTTGAACAAGAGAGCTGGAGGCAGAGGGCTGCTGGCTGGCCAATTCATTGCCTGCTCTGCTTATTCTGTTTGGGTCCTGGAAACCTCTTTCTGGAGGGTGTCCATCAGTTTCTTCATGGGAGGAGCTGCTTGGGTTCTGGTGCCCTGAACCCAAAGGCTTATTATCCACTGGCCTGGTCTTTCTCTCTTTGCTGGACTGGTCCTGGGTTCCCCCTGCAGGGGGACACGGATTTTTCTTCCCTGTGTGGCTGCTATGCAAAGGGGACAGAGTCCACTCGTGCCCATCCTGCCCTGTTGGGAGCTCCATCCCCTTGCTACCCCTGGTATCAAGGTGCACATGCTGCAAGTGGGATGCCAGCAGCTGTTCAGGGGCACTATGGCGATGGCCTGTGGGTCCTGTGAGGTGTGGAGGGCTGCCAAAAGAAGAAGTCTTAGATAGCTCTGCTGAAACCTTGTTGAGTGGGCTGAAATCTATGCTGGAAACTTTGTCATATGATTTTTGGAATCCAACGGCTTTGGCTGAGGCCTCTATCAGTAGGTGCTCATAGCCCTGCTGGTTGGATTCAGGAGGTTGGTTGAGCTCACAGTTTTGATGGCTCTCATTTGTCATTTGGTCTTGCCCACTGAGGCAGCAGAACCTGTTAGTGTTCCTTGGGCACAGCTCAGTGTCTAAGGTGGGTTTCTCCTTCTGTTGCAAAGAGTCCGTAGGCTCAGAAGCTCTGCGCTGCTCTCCATTGTGGAGTTGGGCTCTGGAGGCCTGAAGACTGTCTCGTCTCACTGGAGGTTGTGGTGGGCCCTTGGCAGCTTTGGCAGACCCTGAGTGGTGGACCTCCTGTGAGCGGGATGACATCTGGGAGCTGGGAGTCAGGTGGCCCCCGTTGGTGCGCTGGGTACCTCCTGAGGTCTCAGCCACATTAGGCCTGCCATTAGGGGCCTTAGTTAATCCTGGGCCTTGCATGATGCAGTCTGCAGAGGCTGGCTCCTCTGGCCTGAGGGAAAGGGCACAGTCAGAGGCATTTGAGCTTGCTGAGAAGGAGCTGTAAGCTGAGTCTCGCTGGTTGGGATACATGTTCTGGTCAATGGGCAAGAGGTGACCCTCATAGGTGGCTTGGCCTGGTTGTTCCAGGCTCTCCATGCTGCCAATGGAGCTGCTTTTTTCAGTGCTGCAATGCCGGGAGAGTGGACACCACTGCACACACACGTCACTGCAAGACAGGGCATACTGATTGGTTAGCCAAATTACCAGATCCCTTTCTCACCATGGCCAGTCCTGCCATGGGAGGAGGCAGGAAAACCCAGAGGCATCCATGCCACAAATGAGAGTGAGACAAAGCAAGAAAGGAAGTAAGGAAAACAAGGAAAGAGATAGACACTGTGTACTACAGTGATGTGGTAAAATGGAAGACAAAACAGCATATGGAAGGAGGATGGAGCAAGATCCCAAAGACTAAAAGTGTGAGGAGTCCATTGGGGGTTATGTTTTGTTTGACATCAGTGAGTCTAAAATTGCTTCTAACCTGTCACTCTCCCTAGGGAGTTAGCATGGAACTCTAGGCCAGGAGTGGCAATCACAGACTATCACCATTAGAGAGGGGCCTAAAGGGCCAATTCAATTTTGGCCAGCCTATTTTGTAAATCAGTGCTTCTGGAATTTGAGCATGCATCAGAATTACAAGGAGGGCTTGTCAAAACACAGGCTACTGTGCGTCATCACAAAAGTTTTAGGTATGGGTGAATCCTGAGAATTTTCACTTCTAACAAGTTTCCAGGTGATAATGCTGCTGTTGGTCCAGAGACCACACTTTTGAGATCCACTGGTATAAAGTGAGTCCCACAAAGGAAGTGGTTTTGAAAAGGTGACTTTTCTCAAGATCTAGCTTGTGGCCCAGTTCTAGCTTGTGGCCCAGACAAAGTTGGAATTTGGATGTCCCCTGTTTTTTCTCTTGATAATAATAATAATGACAATTTACTGAGGACCTACAATGTGCCAAGCACTTTAGAATGTCTTATTTCAAACTGAAGGCAAGAAATTATTATATGTACTTTACAACTGAGAAAACTGAAGCTTCAAGAAGTCAGGTAAACTGACAACCTCACAAAACTGTTAAAGAAGCAGGGCTGGAATTAGAACCCAGGCTTCTGTAAGTTCAATGTCTTAGCTTTTCTGCTATATCATCTGTTAAATGGGAATATAGTAATATCTGCATCAGAGGGTTGCTTTGTGGGTGAAAATATAGAATAAAAGTAAAGCTCTTGTCACAGCCCAGGCACCTAGCAAAGGTTCAATACATGGTAGCTGTTCCTCTCTTGATTGCTGTTTCTATTGCTATTGTTATCAGCATCCTCTCTACTACTAGTATTTATAGTATAGTGGCACTTGCCCATGATGCTGCCTTCATCCCCCATGTTACATAAAGCCAAACTGGGGAGACCAAGGAAAGGACTAAGGTCAGACACAATCTTGAATTTTAAGTATGATTTCCCACACAAAGACAAACTGAGCCAAGTCATGTCAGTATCTCCTGATGACTAGAAACCTAGAGGTTGCAGGCTTCACTCAGAAACGCCATAGTTAAGAAAGCCAGAGCGGAGCAGTGGCAGGAGCCCATGAAACTCTCAGGTCAGTCTCCCCTAATTCCTGTTCCTTGTGCTGCCCCTTAGCCACGCTGCTCACTTGACCTCTGGACTGGAATCCTTCAATTCCTTGTTGGCAAGGGGACATGCTGCCCATCCCACCACCCTTCCTGCTGAAAACAACCACACCCTCACTCCAACAGGAGCCAGGCTCAAAATGTGTTTCTGTATATTCTTCCAGAATAAAATTGTCTCTGCCTCAGCCCTGAGTCCATGGCTTCCAATGCCAAGTAAAATCACCAAATGGGGGCAAACTCAAACCTTAGCTTCCTTGAGCCTCCTCAACAGAAATCGCTTCTTGGAGGGATGATCTTGTGGAAGAGAAAAGATAGCAGAGGCCAACAGCTTTGCTGGCTCTGAGCTTGCTGAAATAATTGACTGCCTCTTCTTTAGGGCAGTTGTTTCAACAACAGGCTATATATACCACACTCTCTGCATTGGGAGATCCTTACCACAGGTAGACCCTGTTATTCAGGGAGGTCCCATTCTGAGGGCTTTGGCTCTGCGACAGAGCTGATGAACACTGTACGAGATTGCCAGTGAGTTACTATAAACAGGGAAGGAGCCCTGGGGGCTTCTTTCATTAAGAGACCAAGGAGATGAGGAGGAATCATGGAAAGAGACTGCAAAAGAGCAGCCAGTGAAACAGTATGAAAAGCAGGGAAATGTGGGGTCTTTCAAGTGAAGTGAGTTTAATACTTCAAGGAACATTTTCCAGAAGAAATAGGATGGACCCAAAGTCACAGAGTGAACAGCAGGCTAGGACTAGAACACAGACTGAACTCCCACTCCATTTTCCATTACAGCACTCTGGGTTCTATAACATCTAATTGGTTCTGGAGCAGAGGAGAAGGAGTGGCCACACTGTCTACCCCTTAGACCATCTTGAGAGGACAGTTGTAGACTCACCTTGTGTTGCAGCCGGAATGCCAGGACAAGCTGAAGGCTTCAGAAGGGACATGCATGGTGGTAGCTGCTTCAGGGCATCCCTCTAGCAGCTTGGCCACATGCCATGAGTGCGGCCTACTGACAGGGGCGTTTCTCCTACAGCAAAAAAGGGACAGGAAGTCAGCTTAGAGAACTAGAGCTGAAATCACTTCCCAGGCAGCTTCCGCCCCATCCCCCTCTTTCCTTAAAATAAAGTAGAATATCTTGCAAGGAGCTGGTGTGGGAAGCTTAGGGGCCCTCCTCAGCTCCCAGTACTAAAATCTCCTTCATTCCAAGAGTGATTCCTGGAGAAATGAAATGTTAGCTTTACACAGCTATTGTGTTCATAGGTATATCCCACGCATGTATAGGAATGCCAGACACACAGCAGATGCTCAATATATATTTGTAGAATGAATGAGTGCTACTGATCAATAAATAGTGACCCTACCCTAAGTTGTCTTTGAGGAAAAAAAAATCAATCTGGTCAATCTTCCCATTTTTCTCTAAGAAAGGAATAGGGCAGTGATTGAGAAGTTTGAACAAGTCAACATTGGGCTTCAAATTCTCTAATCTTTGCTTATTCATTTGATAAGCATTTTTTGTATGTTTACTGTGTATCCTCTTTGCATAGCTCTGGTGATACAGAGATCAATCGAACATAGTCTTTGCCCTTGAGAGTTATAGATCAGTGAGAAGGACAGAGTTATTAAAATAAAGAGTGGTAAAGGCCTTGACAGAGTGGAAGATAAGAAGTGAGACACCTGAATATGTAGGAAAAGAGGGGAAAAGGAGCCCCAACTCCTGAAAGGCAAAATAGAAGAGAATAGTGAAGACTGTGTACTAGCTGACAAAGGAGGCTGCTTCTCAGCAGAGTAGGGGTGAATAAAGGGAAAAGGGTCTAAGGCCAAGGCCCTGGATGCAACCACAGGGTCTGTCTTGGTGCTGAAAGCTGAAACAACTCTGGAACTGACTGGCTTATACAGGACCAAACCCTGTCCTCTGGTATATTTCACATTAATAGATTCCACCCTTGGAAAAGGGTAAAATAGTATGGGTAAGAGAACACATGGGGCATGAGTAGTGCCAGAAGATAAAGAAAAGAGTGATGACAGAGGGGCAAAGGGAGGAGGGGGGAATAATGAGGGTGGGGGAGAGGGGGAGAGAGAGAAAAGGGAGAGAGGAAGAGAAGGAAGAAAGGAGAAAGGAGGGAGGGAGGGCGACAGAGAGGGAGAGAAAGAAAGAAAGAAAGGAAGGAAAGAAGGAAGGAAGGAAGGAAGGAAGGAAGGAAGGAAGGAAGGAAGGAAGGAAGGAAGGAAGGAAGGAAGGAGGGAGGGAGGGAGGGAAGGAGGGAAGAAGAAAGAAAGAGGAAGAAAGAAAAGGAAAGGAAAAGAAAAGAAAAGAAAGGAGCCAGGTAGATGATAGAGATAAGAGGGAAAGATGATACAGAGAAATACAAATGAGAGAAAAGGAGAAAACTCTGAGAATAATTATAGAGAAATACATAGTAGAGAGAATTGAATGATGGAGACAGATGAATGACAGAGTAAGAAAAACAGATGATAAATAAGTAGATGACAGAGAGGTAAATGAATGATAACTTATTTACTAATTTATACAGTCATTTACTGTGGCAGACTCCATACTAGATACTAAGGGTGTAGAGTTGACTAAGATAAGGGCTCCTGTTTTCAAGAAGCTTGTTTTATAGTGGGGTAATTCAGCAGAAACATAGAAAATCCCTGCAGTGCAGGGCTCTGGAGGGCTAAGGCCTAAAAATGTAGTCCTGATGAGAACAGCCTTGCTGGGAAAAACATGGGTTGACTGGTAACAGGCCAGACACAGACAAGAAGGTACAAGAGAAAAGGCAGAACAAGCTGCTTGTGAAAGGTCTGGAACTCGCATACACAGGTCAGTAGCAGTGACTCAGATTTACTGAGGAGAGCCAGGTGAGGCTTCCACTTCTAACCACATTGTTCTATTATAGACTTCAGGGTGCACAGTGGGGAGGCTGAAGACTCAAGAAGGCCTTGCGGGGCGGGGTGCCTGCTCCAGAGTCTCATATACAAAACCCTGATGCTAGAAATCTCTTCAGCTGCTGTACCCAATAGTCATCCATTAACAACTATTTATAAGGCATCTCACCAGAAAAAGGATATACTACTATGGGCTGTGTACCAACTATGTATGATACCTCTGTGCACTAAGCATACCGTGGAGAACCTGGGACCTCTCTTATTTTGGGCTCTTCCTCCACATCCAGGATTTCTCAAGTTCTTCTGAGTCCAGGGTTTAAAATATAAGCAGTTATATTTTCCCCAACAGTCAAATTATTCACATTATTCACTGAGTTCTTTGGAGTCTTTTTTTATGATATCTCTCTAGCTTTGCCTCTCTCTCTCTCTCCCCATTCTCACTGAGATTATTCTACATAATCACAATTCTCCTCCACAGAACCAAGAACCCACCACTAACACCTCCTGTTCTATTCCAGGCCCTTAGCACTTTTTGTCCAAATACTCTGTCAGTCTGCCAGCTAGTCTCCCCTCATTCCATCTCCAGTCACTAGTTTTAGATCATATGTCAAACACCAACTGAATTGCAGCCCTCTCCTATTCAAGAATCTTTACTGGCTACCAATTTCTTATTCTGTCATATATCAAATGCAAACTGTATCAGACTTTCAAAGGCCTCTATAAGCTATCTTCACCCACCCAGCCCAATCCCATGCTTCTGCTCCAACCACATTCTTCAATCACCTTTATGACTTTGCTGTTGGTTTTCCAGCAGAATCTAGCACAGGCTCTGGAGCTGGACCACCTTTGTTTGAATCCTAGATTTAACACTTATTAGCTCTGTTGCTTTAGTTAGGTGACTTCACTTGTCAGAGCTCGAGTTGCCACGGTAGTAAAATGGGGATAATAGTACCTAATTAATGGGGATTATAAAAATCAAATTAGACAATGCATGCCAGCTTTTTAGAATAGGGTCTGATAAGCTCTTACCCAATTTTAGTTATTACTATGACTATTCCTTTGCCTGTAATTCCCCCCTTGCATTTTGTTAGTCTAAATTCTACCTGTTCTTTGAAGTACTGCTCAAGTACCATTTCCTTCAGGGTGCTTGCCCTTAGTAATTTAGTCCTCACAGTTTAGTCCATAATAGTATGGTTTATATTGCTCATCATTATTTCATGCATGTTAGTCTCATCCTTCCAACTATACTGAGCCAGCAGAAAATGAGACAAAAACAAGTGAGACAGGTCTAGGTTCATATCTTAACTCTACCTCTTTAGAGGTGTGATTTTTTGCAAGTCATTCAGCCCATTTGACCTTCAGTTTTCTTATCTGAAAAAGGGAACAATAATCCTTACCTGGCCAGGTTACTGTGGAGTTTAGAGGTAATATTCTCAAAGCATCTGTGACACAGCCTAATACATAGCAAGTTGCCAATAAATTGGTACTATAATAAAGGCTATCAACTCAGACTTGTCCTTGATGGTTTGAGAGTACTCCCACCCAGATTTGTCCATCCACTGTCAAAGTTCTGCTGTACCACTCCATTGCCACACTTTGAAAAATAGCTTACAAAGGCCCCCTACTCTCTCTAGGGTTCCTCCAGGAATGGGAGAAAATCCCAAAGGAGACATAAGCAAGGCATTGGAGGCTTTGGGAACACTGCAGGGGAAAAAAATCCCAGCAGAGGAACGAACTGCAGCCAGAGCTGGAGCCTTCTAGCCCTAATTTGGGAAAGGAGAGGAAATCATCTATAGAGTCTAATACTTGGTTTATAATTATTCCTGAAGAGCTCTAGACTTAGTTCACACTTACATTCCAATTCTAGCTGTGAGACTTTGGGCAAAACACATCTCTGAGTTATAGATTCTTTATATGCAAAATGGGGAAGATAACCATCCCTTACTCAGGAGTTAGTCTGGATTAAGTCCCATGCGTGAAATCATTCAGCATAGTGTCTGAAATACTATAAACTTAAAAAAATTACAATAAGAATCATTTATTGAATAATTAAGATGTGCTAGGCATTAAGTACTTTGTGTGCATTAGCTGATTCAATCTTCATTCCAACCTTATCCATAAGAGCTATTCTTCTCTTTACAGATTAGAAAACAGACACAGGGAGCTGAATTACTTTGCTAAGGGTATACAGCTAGTAACCAGCAGCTGGGAATGAGGCACAGATACTCCAGCCCTTTCTAGGATATCATACATCTGCTCCTCCCCAAAAAGCAATCTGTCTCAAAAAACTTGTATACTTGAAGCTTCTCCTAGCTATTCACTTAAGAAGCAGTCAGTAAGGAAATCAGTAGTCCTCAAGTTTAAACTATCCCTTCTTTTAGGCAGTAGGGAAGTGGGATGAGGAGAAATGAACAGAGAGGTAAGGAAATGGGAACCACTAGCCAGGCATCACCAGGCCTAGCTGTGGAGGCAACTATTCCTTACTTCTAAGGACAGCTCAGGACCAACATTAAACACATACCCTATCATTTATTACCCCAAAACTCATTTCTTAGGAAGCAAAAAGGGATACTGAAGAAAGAAAGCAGAAGTGGGGAGAGGGGCAGTAACCATGGCAACCATGGCTACTAGTTGTACGTACCAGGAAAGTTGTCCAGGGTGGGGAGATGGTTTAGGAGAGAGGTGGGTATTCAGCCAACTCAGATGCTCATCAACAGCCCCTCCAGCCAGACCCCAGGGCTTCTTTTTGCAAGTTGGAACCTCCCCTAGTTGAAAGCCATCTGCCTTCCTGTTAAGACCTGCTGAGACGAGGGGCAATCAGCCCAAGTTCCTGAGTGTGATCCAAGGAGCCCAGCCACAGTCAGGTCCCAGTTCCAAGAACAGAAGGGAGTGGAATTGAAAACAAGGTATGACCATCAGCCTGGTTGGCCCTAGATGTGGCCACAGTCTTAGTGAATGAAAGCCAGTGTTAAGGACTGGATAGGAGTGAAGACACTGCCCAAGAAACCAGCCAGCACCCTGTTGGCAAAGGGAAGGATGAAAAGCAGTTCCAGTAGCACAAACAGTCCCCCTGTTCCTTACTCCAGCCTCCTCTGAAGCCTGGCCCATCCCCTTCCACAGCTCAGAAGCCAATAAGGAAGCTGGCCCAGCCACTGCTGGAACTCAGGAAAGGAGCAAGGAAATGATGTTTGGGAAAGATAAAGCGGGTGTCTAAAAAGAATTTTTAAAAATACACGTAAGTGAGAGAGAAAAATACCCCAGACACATACACTTAAAAGAATTCCTGTGCTTCCTGGACTGAGTTGACCCCACCCAGCCATCTCCGATCCTCTGAGCCACAGAAAAGGAAGCCCAGATCAGCCAGGCCTAGTAGCCTCCAGGGCCAGAAGAGCAAATAGCACTGCAGCTGATTTTACACAGCCTGAGGCGGGGCATGTGACCTAGAGATTTTTGAAGGTGAAGGTCCTGCTGAGATACAAAGACTCACAAGCCATTCTGGGCCATATATACTTGGTCTGTGCTGCCTATGGGCAACTGAGAAGACCTAAGGAAAACTCCATTTCATCCCAGAAACTCCACCTCCATAAGAGTGGCACTCAAACTCAGCATCCCTGGCTCTGCCATGACTTTGCTCTGACTTCTGACAACTTACTCCTCCTCTCTGAGTCTCTGTTTCCTCTCTGCAAAATAAAACATTGGACTCCATCATCACAAACAACCCTTCCGGCTATGGCATGCTATGATGTAATAGTCCTAGGCCCCGGGCTGAGGCTTCAAATGGTGTCCTCACTTATCTGTGCAATAGCCAGAACCCAGAATAGCCCCACATGTGTTTGTTGCACACTCTAAGTCCAGACTCAGGCATCAGAATTTAATTTCTCTTGGGGATATAGAGTTGGGGATTTCCCTTCATAATCGTCCTGATCCCCACTCTAGTTTCCTTTGGCCTCTGGCCCCAATTCCAGCAAATTCTGGCTCCTCAAAGGGCTTACGTGAGTTCCCACAGGACAAGAAATATGCTAGGGCCTTTCCTCTCAGGGGAAATCATGCCCAGAAGCTAGAGGTCATTTCCCCTCTCTCCTCTCTGTACCTCCTAGGGAAGTCAGGGTTGATGTTTATTTATTCTACAAAAGTCAGGTACCATTCAAGTAAGTCCATAGGCTCTCCTTTGGTAGTTACAAAAATGGTATAGAAAAAGTTTGGGGATTTTTGTGGGCATATTGGTCTGGCGGGAGCCTCCACTTTACCACTGACGAGTTGTTTTACCTTGAGTATGTCACAGAACCTTAATTTACTCACCTCCAGACATTCAATAAATGGTATCTGTTATTACTATTATATTCTACCAAAAATAGTAATAGGCAAGATACCATTAGTAGCAAGAAAAATAACTTCTTCAATCCAAATGAAGATGAAAGAGAAAGGACTAGTTAAGAGAAGGTTCAGAAGCCAAACCTAGTACTCTAGAAGAGAGCTTCTCAAACTTTAGTGGGCATACTCATTGCCTTGGCATCTTGTTAACATGCAAATTCTAATTCAGAAGGTCTAGAGTGAGCTCTAGATTCTGACCTTCTAACAAACTCTATAGTAATGCTGATGCTATGGGTATGATAACTAGACTTTGACAATACACTAGGGAATACAAAACCATTAATAGTACATTAGGGAAAAAACCCTGGCCTGAAAATAAACAAACAAAAAACCATCAGAATAAACACTCTCCTCATGTCATTACTCAGGCCTGGGTGTCCAGCTTTCCCTAAATTTCTGGTCACCAAGCACATTCACCCTTCCACTCAGTAACCAAGGCCTTAAAAGTGCTTCCCTAATGAGGCTTACTGATTCCCACTTTCTAACAAAGTAAAGAACAATGAGTTGATAGCAGCCTGGCCCTGTCAGTGGCCAGGTGAGGCTATGGAAATTATGACTAGAAGCACAAGCATGTTCATAGGACTGGCTTGGGTAGGGACGCAGGTGGAAGTATGATTTGGGTAGTCACCAGATGAGTTGATAGAATAAGCAGGTGGACACAGACAGCATATACTTGAGAAATTCTTGGGCAAGGAAAGAGAGGAATGTGAGCAGTTTGGCTATTATGGGATTAGGGAAAGAGACTGAGAGATGGGGTGTGGATAAAGGGAGCACCCTCTCATTTAGCAGAGCTGAGTTCCAGATAACATGACCAAGTATAACTTCCTAGGTAGGTAAAGATGACTGCTTCTTTCCAAGCAGTTGGACAATAAGAAGTGAGTGTGGGTTCATTGGGGTGAGGGCACATGCAGGCAGAAGTAGCAGATAAGGCAGAAGCTAACTCCCAGGAGTCTTTGTAAAGATTGTTGGGGGAGGTAGGAGGATAGAGGAGGACCAATTCTGGAAGGAGTCAATCTCTAGCTGTATTGGTGGGCTGTCACCCTAATATCTTCAGACAGTACTAAACATCTCTGATCCTGGCTCCTAGCAGACCCCTCAGGACATATTTAGAGGGGGCAGGTAAGGAGAAAGAGAAATATAACCACGACTCTGCCATACCCTAGGGCAAGAAGGAAAATATGGCCCCTATTGTTTGGGGTTGTGTTTAGCCAGAGGTCTGGGCCATAACCTATTGTAGGCTCTTTCCCCTTTTGAAAGTGTTTAGATAAGGAGAAGCACAAAAGAGCATCCTTGATTGCCTCTGTTTACTCTTTGTGACTCGTTCATCCTCTCACAACAGCACATTCCCCATGTCCTGCATGAAGGAGTCCAAGCTCATTCTGGCTGGCTTAGCAGGAAGGGAAGCCCATATACCAACCGGCGGACAGAACAATGCATGGCGTGTTTATCTGACAGAAGAGGGGGAAACCTGCTTGACCACCAGGGATGGACACAAAGCTACAATGGCCCACTCACTCCTCATTGTTAGCTGAGGGACCTTGAAGCCTGGTGATCCAGAGATCCTTACTACAGACCCAACCAAGGAAGAATAGGTATGTGAATGTGTTTAAATGCAAATGTCTATGTGTGTATGTGTATTTGTGTGTATGATTATGTATTTCTGTAAATGTATATATATATATGTGTGTGTGTGTGTGTGTGTGTGTATGTGTGTGCACATGTATCTCTGTGTATGTGTGTGTTTGTATGTATAATTTTAAAGAGAAATTTTAGGACAATGGCTTGCTTTTCAGTCTGGGAAAGTTATAATCTAAGTCAAGTGAGATGTGAATACTTTATGCAGATGAAGCTTTTGTTACACAGTTCTGCATCCCTACCTTTCCCACCTTTTCCACCTCCCCTAAATTATCTAAATAGCCAGGTCAAGATCTTTCATATAAATCTGCTGGGTACCCATCTCCACCCTCAACCTCAGTATCCACCTCTGGCCAAAAGAAACCTAGGGAAATGGATAAGAAATGAAGGAAATGTTGGGGTGGAAATAAAGACTCCCCCAGATGCTGTGGTATGTGTCAGGGGGTGCCTTTTGGCTTTCTAGGTAAAGAGTGATAGCTTCATCTGGTTAATGCCTTTACATTTGACCTCTGTTTTCATTTCTCCATTTTCACATTGGAATCTGTAAAACATGGGGACACCTCTTTTTCTAAAGAAGGTTGGAAGTCCACAACCATATGCAGGTTTTGGGAGAGTTTTGCAAATATTAAGGGCTAGAAAAAGCTTAAGAGTTTAGAAAAACAATGCTTGGAATTCTCTTTCAAAGTGGGCTAGGGAGCATATCCTGGTTTTTCTATGGATAGTCTGATAAAACATACATATCAAAGACTTTTTTTGTCAATTATCCCAAAAGCAATGAGGTGAATGGTGCATATATCACAGCTTCTAGAAGCAAGGGGAGCTAGTAAAAAACTGAATAATGAAAGAGGGCTTTTCTTTCTTTCTTGTATATACAAAAGCTAAGGGTGCAACTCCAGAGGACTGATGAGGGCTGATGAGGAGAGCATAGGGAAAATGAAACAGTTTCACGGAGAAGCATCTGTACAGTCAGCTTCACTGTGATGCTCAATTTCCTATACTAATACTAAGAGTGATAAAGAAGAGGGAGGATTCTTGCCCTCCAGCTCTGGTTTCTAGCAGAAATGTGTATAGCATCCCTTGGGAAGGAGGTTACAAGAATCATACAAGATTCACTTACTTCTCCCTTTAACTCAAATATCTCTCATCTCAAACTCATTATTGGAGATACCACTTTTCTGGGAAAAGATGGAATCCCCAAAGCTTTCCCCAAAGTCAAGTCTCAAAGCCCTTAGAATTACTTCTGGTTGCCCACACTACCTAAGACATGAAACACTAGGACAATAACTAACAATAGCCAGAACGCCAATAGAACCAAGAATACCTACTCACTCTGCTTTGTGCAAACATGACAACAAGGAAGTGCCAATGCTCAGCAGTATTGGTAGATGAGGTTGGGGAAGTGCCAAGGCCAGATCGTGAAGTTTTCCAAAGTCAAGTTAAGTAGTTTACATTTTATTCTCAGTGCAGTTAGTAGCTAATGGGGGTTGTTAAGCAGGGCACTACCACAATCTAAGTTTTATAAAGATCTCACTTGGTTGATGTATTTAGGTAAGAAAAGAGTAGAAGCTGGGGAATCAGTTTAAAAAGCTCTTATAGATAAGAGATAATGGTGGTTTGTTCAGGGAAGAAGCAGTAGGGGTAGAGAAAAGAGGTTTGATTATCTATCCTGAAGAGGTAGAGCTGACAGTTATTTGTTAATGGACTGAATATGGAGAGCAAGGGAAAAAGAAGGATAAACCATGACATTTGGGTCATTTGGCATCTGTTCCTTCTTAGCACAGAATTTGTTCTGAAACTGAGTCATTAGTAGTTCTAAAAATATGTTCGCAGTTTTCACTACTCTTTTATTTCAGCATTTATGGAGCTTCTGTCTGCATTTAAGGTGCTCGGAGAGGTACTACTATGGAACACACCAAAACCAAAAAAATATATAATCTCTGTGCTCAAGGAATTTACAGTGTGATAGGAAGGTGAATAAAAATACCTAAGTAACCATTAAACAGGATAGAATGTCCTGTCATAAAGGAAACAATAACAAAATGAGAGTTAAATAAAAGAGAAAGCATAGGGGTGAATCAAAGATTTTACAGAGACTCTGAGCTAATTTTTGAAGACTCAGTACCATTTCAACTGGAGAATACTAGAGGAGAAGTTATGCCAGGTTTTGTATAAACAAGAGTGGGAAAAGCAGGAATATGCTGCAGGGAGGACACACAATTTCTATAAGGCACATAGGAAGTAAAATAAGAATGATGCAAGGACATGGTGGACCTTAACTATCAGGGTAAAGCATTTCATTTAAATAATCCAATAGGCAAGAGAGAGAGGCTTTGGAAGTTCCAGGCTAGGAGAGCAACATGGTAAAAGCAGTATTTTAAAAGATTATTCTTGTAGTCACATGCAGGGCGAGTTATGTGGCTAAATACTGAAAACATAGAGAAGTGAGTAGGCTAGCGCAATACACACAAAAAGTAGAACTAGATCAATGACAGTGGGGATGGAGAAAAAGTGAATAATGTAATAGAAGACATGTAAGACAGAATCAACAGGGTTGGACTACTAATTAAATATGGAGGAAAGAGAAGAATTAAGATGACTGAAATACTTACAAGAATGGTGGTATCACTAATCTAGATAGGGAAGTTGAAAGTAGGAGCTGGCTTCAGGAGACATGAGTTTGATTTTAGATACAAGTTTGTTTGTTATGCTGTCAAATTATGTGAATAGGCATGCCCAGAAATAAGTCTCACATCTGGGCTGCAGTGCTAGCGAGAGGTTAAAGAAAGATATGTCCATGCTGTCATTATCCAGAAAGGAGGCAGCCAAGGCTGTTGCAGTGGATGTGACTGCCCATAGTACATGTGTGCAAAGGAAAGATGGTGGATGACAGATCTCTATGTAACAGATATAGTTCAGGTGGGAGAGAAAGAAGAATTAATCAAAGGCAAAACAAATGAAAAGCCATTTTCAATGATATTAGCAATAAAGTTTTTAAAATAATGTTAGTAAAGTTGCAGGGAAATGGGTATTCTTATACATTGCTGGGTGCCAATGGATATAGATACACTTTTGCTAGACAGAAATTTGTCATATGTTATCAAGAGACAAAAAATGTTCCCACTGTGCTTGCCTCAGCCAGCATATTCTAAAATTGAAATAATACAGAGAAGATTAGCATGACCCCTGCACAAGAAAGGCATGCAAATTTGTGAAGTGCTCCATATTTTCTTCTGGACTTAGACATCAGTGATCGTCATACAACCTTGTGAATATACTAAAATCCACTGAATCACATACTTTAAAGTAAATAATTTTATGGTATGTAAATTATGTTTTTAAAAAGGTTCCTATCCGATGCAGGACAACCTGAAATATCAACTTAATCATATATTACATTGGTAGAGAGATATATACATTTGTTTCTAGAATACTCATTATATTTCATTGATCTATTTGATTATTTCTGTGCTGGTGTCATGCTGTTTTAATTGCTGAGACTTTGTAATGGTTTTAATTTTTTAATATTTTATAATTGACTTTGACCTGTAAAAAATAAATAAAATCAATCTGAAAGAAAGAAAGAAAGAAAGAAAGAAAAGAAAGAAAGAAAGAAAGAAAGAAAGAAAGAAAGAAAGAAAGAAAGAAAGAAAGAAACTCCTACCTTTTGCGACAACATGGATGGAACTGGAGAGTATTATGCTAAGTGAACTAAGCCAGTTGGTGAAAGACAAATACCATATGATCTCACCTATAAGTGGAATCTATTCAACAAAATAAACTAACGAACAAAATAAACCACAAACATGGAAACATGGAGCAGACTGAAAGTGACCAGAGGGGATGGGGAAAGAGGACAATGGGGGAAAAAAAGGGAAGGGACTAGACAAAGAACATGTACGAATGACCCATGGACATGGACAACAGAGTGGGAATTGACTGTAGGAAGGGGGTTGGGGGTGGGATGGGTGGAGGGGCCAAAGGGGGAAAAATTGAGACAACTGTAATAGAAAAAACATGACTTAAATTTTTTTTTAAAAACCCTGGAAAATAAATAAATAAATAACCCCAACCCCCAATAAAAGGTTCCTATCCCTTGATCCAGTTTTGTACTCCTAGGAGTCTGTCCTAAGAGAACAATTAGAGATGCACACATTGATTTATATACATGAAGTGCCATCCACTGCAGGGTTATTTATAATGGTAAAATAAGGTATATTGTAAGCATCCAACATTTAGGAACAGTTAGGTGAAAAATTATACATCTACATGAAGCAATAATATTCTGCCATTAAAAACCACGCTTTTGAAGACTACTTAATGATCTTGGAAAAGGCTCACAATATAATCCTAAGTGAAAGAAAAACTGTATACAAACCTGTACTTAATACTAGTCCAATTTAAAAATATATATTCATGTACTTACATATTTATATACAAGCATACTCATATTAAAAGTCTGGATGAAAATGCACTATCTTACCACTAGGTGTTTATATCTGTGTGGCAGAATTAACAGTGATTTTTATTTTTTTACACTGATTTAAAATTTTGAAATTTTCTACACTACACATGCATTAATTTTGAATGAGAAAATGTTTCCAAAGAAAAAGGACACCATTCTACATAGACATATCATGTACTGTGGCAACTGTCAGAACTGTCTAGAAGTTAGGAATTGCAATTATACTTGTACTTCCATTTAACTATTTCAAACATGTAGATTTTCTCCTTAGGGAGATCACCCTACAGCTCACCAACCTAGCAAGATGATTTCCCCAATAAATGCTTTTCTGCTTAGCAGTGGATTCCTCTGTTTATTCTACTAATTTAAAAAAAAAAAACCCCATCTGACAGTTTTTACCTCAATATTAGTACTGAGAGTTGTTCTTTGCTGTGAGAGACTGCCAGGGCTGGAAAAACAAGAAGCAAATTGAGGGGAGACAGGCAGAGGAAAAGGGAGGTCAAATCAAAGTCAGCATCAAGGCTGTGCCCAATGAATTGAAAAAAAAATTTTTTGCTACTCAGGGCCTTCTTGGTTTTAGTTTCTTTCTGGGTGCCTGTTGGACTTGGTCCAGACAAAGCTGGGTGGAGAGGGGACAAAACACAGGGAAATCTGGTGGGCAGGTGGTGGCAGCAAGTACCATTTGTGAAGCCATCTAACTGCTAATATTTGTACACCGTGTTTACACTTCACAAAGAACTTTCACAAACACCATTACATTTAATCCTTACTACAATCTTATAAACTCTACTTTAGAAAAGAAGAAACTCAGGTTCAGAGAAGTGAAGTAAATCATATAAGGCTTGAATCCAAGTTCTTTGCTTCTAAGTTCTTGTGAATCAAAGACTCTGGGAGTGGGGTCCAGCAATCTGAATTTTAACAATCCCTCCAAGTGATTCTGATGCATGCTCAAGTTTGAGATCCATCACTCTAAAAAATGCTGCCATACATTTAAAAACAGATTTTCATATGGTTTCTTTAAAATACTGGCTGCTGCTTTGACTTATGTGGGGTCTTGTCTTCTAAGGCAGGCTGGGAGCCTCCCTTCAACTGTCAGTGGCTTTTTACATAATAGAGAGAAGCCGCTTGAATAGAATTTAGGCTCCAGGGGCAGGAACGTACTACTTCATGGTGAGGAAGTTCCCAGAACAAAGAGGGCAATTCCCAGGTCACAGTTTCCCTTTCTGGGGGAAGATATGAGCTGGCAAGTAGGTGCCATATAGCTGCATCCCTTTTGGAGGTTCTCTTAATATATTTTCGCATGGTTCCACAGTGTTCTACATAAGCCCCTGAGAAATTCCCTGTTCTTATATATTTATATTTACAAACCTCTAGTTCATCAGGCTTTTAATTTCCTTTGTTTTCAGTTAGATTATTAAAAGGATTTTGAAGCAATAGTTTAAAGAAAATGCAGAATTGAAATTAATGATTTCTCTTCTAAGGAACATGGATTGCCCTACTCCAGCTTCCCCAACCCACTACCTATCCAGTTTCTTTACTGCAGGTAACTGTTCTCATTCTCTCTCTCTCTCTCTCTCTCTCTCTCTCTCTCTCTCTCTCACACACACACACACACACACACACACACACAAAACACACACACTCAATCATATACACTCTTTCCCTTTGGGATGGAGAAAAATTAAACAGCTGTTTTTTTTTAAACTTGGACTAAACTTAAATTGGATTTTAAATTTTGTCAAGGTGATGTTTGTAAAATTGAAACAGAACCCATACATGGATATTGATTTAATTTAAAAATGTTAAAGCCAAAAGACAAAATTGTGTAATAAAAATTATGAAGTATTCAAAATTCTAGGAGTGAACAGAATTTGTTATGTATCCCCTTCTTCACATGTACTAGCACTGAGTTCATTCATTTATTTAGTGATTGAAAGATTGGTTTATTTGTTAGTTATTGAGAGCCAAGCAAGCACTGTTCAAGGTGCTAGGGCAAAGCAATGAATAAAACAGACAAGACCTCAGTTCTCATGGGGCTCAACTCAATAAATATATGTCAGGTAATGTTAAGTGCTATGAAGACAGAGAAAGCAGAGTAAATGGTAGACTGAGTGACAGGGATATGTGGGGCCAATGCTATTAAACGACTTGGTCAGGGAAGGCCTCTGTTAGGAGGTGATATTTGAGCAGTGACTTAAATGAAGTCAGGGAAGGAGCCAGGTGAATATCTGAAGGAAAAATATTGTAAGCAGGGGTGTTAGCAAGGGCAATGGACTGAGACAGAATCATCTTACCATAACCCAAGAACAGCATAAAAACCAATGTGGCTAGAATGGGGTAAGTAAAACAAAGAATGGTAGGAAGTAAATTTGGGGAAGAAGGCCAGGGCCAAGTAATTGGGTTACTGTAAGGACTCTGAATTTAATTTTAAGAGTGATGGAAGTAAACTCTGTGTCTAGTAGGTGCTAAGGAGTTTAAAATGTATGCACTATGATTCTTGCCCTCAAGAAACTTTTAATATATTTCAGGAAGTAATTCAAAATTACAGGAGACTTGAGAAGGGGAGGGTATTCTTGTCTCAAGTACACTTGTTTCTAATTTTAATGAGCCATTTTTAGTAGAAAGGAACCATAAAGGAGAAAAAGGCTTGCCTACTATGCCATTTTGAAAAGATTCTTCCACCTCAGACTTCGAGCCAAGATGGAGGTGTAGGTAGATGCACTTTGCCTCCTCAAACAACCAAAAGAAGGACAACAAATTTAACCACAGAAAAACAACCAGAACTGCCAAAAAAATTGAACTGTATGGAAGTACAACAACCAAGGAGTTAAAGAACAAACATCAGGACTGGAAGGAGGGGAAATTGAGGGGAGAGAAGATGGCAGAGGAGTGAAAGGGAGTCATGCTGACCACCTCCTCCCAAGACCAAACTGTAATTGCAACTAAATAGTAGAGTAATCACCTGGAAAGCAGTGGAGCGATAGTGGGAGAGGAGGCTTGGTGCCGCGGACAGGGGATTCAACTCTCACACATCCCAACGGGTGCGAAGTGCGGTCGAGGCTCAAGAGGGTGGGTTGGGTGCCCACGGGCACTGGCACCAGAGGTACATTGAAATGGCCAGTTAGCTTCCCCCGAGAAGAACGGGGTCTGAATCATAAACAGGGACTCCTAAACTACAGCAGCTAAAACCAAGAAAATACAAACAAAACGCAACCCTGAAAAGCTTAGGGGGGCTCTCTACCAGAGACAGGTGGCTGGGGATGCAAAGAGATATTTAAAGAGCCAACGCAAAAGTTGCAGTGGCAGCCACCCTCCTTGATCTCTTGGCAGAGGCGGCAGCAGGGTGGGCTGGTGCCTGGAAAAAGACTGGTGAGGAAAACTTTGTGAAGAGAACTGAAACGGCGGCCGGTGGAGCCCCGGTGATGATGCACCTCCCACTCTGCAGCCCCCATCTCACTAAGGCATAAGGGAATCAATTAACCTGCCTTTTGCACGCTCGACATACAGCTTGTACGTGTGTGAGCTGCGGGGCTGAGTGCAGACTGGCTGGGAGAGCCTTGAGGAGAGACTGGAGACGGAGGCATTGGGGAAAGAATGAGAGGAGGAACTGGGGAGTCCCGACTCCATCCATGTTCTGCAGTCTCCATTGTGGGCTGGAACGGCGGGACCCCAAAGAGGCAGAAGTGGGGTGCACATGAACCAAACTGCCTGTGATTGAAACGCAGTCCACACAGGGGGTGGATCCTTGGCCAAAGCGGTCACAGAA